ATATATTACCTTAAACCTAGCAAACGTATCTATTTACCAAAGTAATGGTTTTAGAAAACTTACATGATATCTAGCAGCTTTGGGGTAACTGAACTGAGGAGGATTGGTAGGCGGGTCGGACGAACCTTGATCGAACTTCCAGTTCGTGCAGTGAGTGCGCTCAAACACCTCAATAGCTGTCGGTTCACGACCCATTACTTTTGCCTACACTAGACAATTAGGTTAAGTTGTTAGTAAACATAAAGAGCGGATTATATTTTCAAAAAAGATTATATACTCACCATCCTGTCTCGATGTTGTGTAGTACTGATCGATCCCCCAGTGTCTAGACGACCCCCTCAAACTGTGTGTTCCAATTAGCCCTATTGATCATGGATTTCCTTTTCCAAGCCTCGGTATCCCAAACCTGTTAAAAATAGAGCACATATATAAGGCGGTACAAAACACATGGCAGTTCGAAAAGCTCACAATAGAGATACATACCTGGTCAATCATCTGAAACCAAAACCTGTTTAGTATCCATACAGGACGGTGTAATCTAATAAGAAGTCCTCACCGTCCCATTGTTGATCATTAGGATAGGCCTGTGCCACGACCCAGTCACGTACAACGCTCATCCAATCCGAGTACCTATTGTGCATGGCTTTGGTCCATAAATCATGAACCATGTCATCTAGCTCTGATTCCCACTGGAACTTAGCCTACACACACAAATATTTGTATAAATGTAAAAAACAATAACCTTATATGTATAATTACATTAAAATGGTACACCAACCCTAATGCCCTGGAATATCAAGTCGCGTGATTCCTGAGATACTTCATTCTATCTATGCCATGGACCAGTAAAGGAAGACCTGAATATAGTTGTCATCTCCCGGATAACATGGATATCTTTAAACCTGTATAATTAAAAAATATTTACAACACAAAAGATATTCATATCATTTTATTATGTAATACAAAGTCTTATACCACATCTACTTACCCATGGCCTAACAAAAAAAGATATATTCGTTGGCTCGGATGACTCAGGGTCGGCATCTCTATGTTGGGGCCTCTCCTCGACCCCGAACCTGTCGAAGCTGGGGGCTCCATGGCCACCTCTTGTTCATCTAAACCGCGAAAGGCGGTCTCCGTAAACTCAACAATGTCATCGGCGCGGGCAGAGTTGCTGCCCCTACCAGACATGGGGCTGCCGCGACTACCATGACGGCTTCTACTGCGCTCTCGGCGTGACATCTCCTGAAAAAACAAATATTAGATTATATCATGAAAAAAGATAATGACAAATTGCGATTATATATGTACATTTGTGAAATAAGCATACAAAAGACAAACTACTCATCAAAAGAATGATCAGATAACATCGGTTCATCTTCATGATTATAGAGTACGTTTACCTCCCCTGTGGCAAGACGAACATCATCGAGCTCGTTTCCCAATGAGAACGTTGTATGAGTTACCCTTTTGTTGACTTGAAAGAATTGTTCTCCATCCACATGATCATTGTTTTCAACATCGTTAATCATGTCGGACACTTCATATATGCCACGAGCCTTGTCTTGACAACTGCCCACCAATCTTTCAAATCCTTTGTCATCGAATGATATGAAGTATAATAGACTTATTCTGCCTGTGATGCTAGAATAAACGGGTCATCGGATCCAAGTCTAGATTTATATTTGATATCTACCAAATTGTGTTTAGGGTCAACTCTAACCCCCGAGGCAGTATCAAACCAAATGCATTTGAACATGACAACCACCTGTCGCACTGAGCTATAATACTCCACCTCTATAACTTCATCTAACATTCCATAGAAGTTAGACTCACACTTGTCATAGCAGGCCCCCTTACACATATACCGCTATTATGGGTAACTCGACCGGATCCATGGGTCACCGTTTGAAGTTGTAACCATTCACAAAGTATCCCTGATGCGTGGTGGCATAATGGCCTGGTTTGCGGGCTAGGGATTTTAATTATTCATTTGAGTCGTTTAACTCGAACATGACCTATAAAAGAAGGCCACACGTAAGAAACACATAACGTATGTCATTGCATTCTGTATATTAATACCAATGACCATTATATATATACTCACGTGGTGTGAGAACCAATCAACAAACCTCTCCTCCCGAATTCTATCAAATTCAACTTCATCAATATTCGGTTCTGTTTGTCGAATCTTTTCATCAAAGGTGGACTAGAAAGGTTGAACTTCTACACAGTTGAACAAGACATATCTATGGATAGTCTCTAGGTTATGTTCATTTAAGATTATCTGTTTCCCACCATTCACGAATGGTGGACGAGATGGAACCTTGAATATGCTTAGTTAATCGTCGGTCTCCGAACAACTAGGGATATTCGAGGAAAAGTTCCTTGATTCACGATTATGTCTTGTTTCTATTGTTGGATCAAAATAGAGGGAGCAATAGGTAGAAAGTTCATTTACAAGGTACGACTCAACGATAGAGCCTGCTTTGTTTCAAACCGTTCTCCTTAACGACCCAAGCTTCCTAAAGAGATGAAATACATGTTAGGGACAAAAAGAGTGTTCTATATGAATATATTGTACTAGATTTCAATAAAATTAGGAACTCAACTCTCATAGAGATACATCCACCTATATTGGACCGGACCACCATTTATAGCTTCACATGTCAAATGTATCACGAGGTGTTCCATTGAATAAAGAATCAGGGCGGAAAGAACTTTTCCAACTTGCAAATTGTTTGAACAATACTTGTTTGCAATGGAACCAAGTCATCTATGTGTAACACCCTTGAACATATCACACGAAAGAATGTGCACAACTCTGTTATTGCATCCCATATCAAAGTTGGTATCATCCCTCGTAAAGCAATAGGAAGCAATCATTACATAAACACATGACAATCATGACTCTTGAAGCTATAAAAGCTAGAATCTTCTAGGTTCACACAACTCCCTATGTTCTAACCATACCCGTCTGGAAACTTCAACTTCTTCAACCATGCACACACTTGTTTTACTTGTTGTTTGCTCAAACTATACGATGACTTTGGTTTCAACAACGTCTTCCAATATGGCAACTCCCAAAAGATGCTTCTCTTTACCCAATTATGATTGGTTTCGAACCCGCTATTTTTTCTATTTTTTGAATTATACGGGCAACCCTCATAAACAGTTGAAATGTGAGGAACGAACTCCCATATCTCTTCACCGGTTACCTCAGGTGGTGGACCAGTTAACACCCTATTACCTGCCATAAATCCTTTCTATCACGACGGAAAGGGCGTGTTCCAGGTAACCATCTCCGATGACAATCAAACCAACATGATTTCCCTCAATTTTTTAACTGGAAGGAATCCACCTCCCCCATGCAATATGTGTGCTCTAACCCGACAACATTGCATAAGCCGGGAAGTCGCTGATGGTCCATAGTAGTATAGCCCTCATCTCGAAATTATTCTTACGATACACATCATACGTAAGAACACCCTCCGTATACAACATTTTTAGATCATCTATTAGTGGCCTAAGAAAAACATCCAAATTCTGACCGGGGCTCTTTCTACCAGGGATAACCAATGCAAGCTCAACATACGAATCTTTCAAAGCCATCCAAGGAGGTAAATTGTAGATGGTAATAAAGACGGGCCATAGTGAATACAGATTCGAAGTTGAATTATTCGGGTTGAAATCGTCGGTGCATAACCCAAGACGAACATTCCGGATCTCAGAAACAAAGTCAGGATCCCTCATGTCGAAATGCTTCCAAGCTGCACCATCACTTGGATGTACCATTTCACCCGGTTTCGCCCGATGATCGTAATGCCCGATGATTGTCCAGAAGCTCATTCCCTTGTTGATCCCTTGTTGATCTGCGAGATATTTTTTCCCTCGCTGATATTCGTCATTGATACCTGATTTTCTAGTAGTGATGTCTCGTTAATGAGTCGTTCTGGTATTAGTGGGTATAATAAGCTTTGTTCTGCCTTAACGAGTCTAAATGCATCATAATTACTATAACTGTAACTTAATACATAACGGGTCTTACTGAGCTATTAACGACCAAATGATCAATTAATTACCAAAACATTCATAGACCCGAAAGTATTTAATAATTTATGAAATTTTCAACGAATTTTCGATGTAATCCCGAAAATTAAAAGAAACTAAAATTTTCAACGACTCTTTACCGGACTTGTTAAATTATTTTGATATTTTTGTAGACTTTAAAACCCAGAGTTTTAATAATTAATTTCTTGAACTTGCTTTTAATAGAAACTTTTGACGATATACAATAAAGTAGAAAAAAACATATTTTTTGAAAATGTTTTGGACGAACTTTTGACGAATACATATATTTTTGCACTACAAAAAAATTTGGTTTATAGGACACCCCCAATCTCTAAGCGTCCAAATACACCGTTTTATAGGACTTAATTTATAGGATCAAAATATAAAGCGTCCTATCTAAATGTGTTGTAATAAGTTTATATGACTTTTTTGGACGTCTTAACAAGTTTTTTAGGACATTTTTAATACAAAGTGTCGCATTAGCAACTTTATAGGATACTTTTGAGAAATAGTCCTATAAACTCAATTTTTTATAGAACATTTTTTCAAATAGTGTCATATAAAGTTGTTAATGGGACGCTTTATATTAAAAATGTCCTAAAAAACTTATTACGACGTCAAAAAACGTCATATAAACTTATTACAATGCTTTTAGATAAGACGCTTTATTTTTTTGTCCATATAAATTAAGTTCTATAAATAGGTCTATAAGAATGTTTAGAAATTGAAAGTGATTTATAAATTCGATTTTGTTGTAGTAATATATGGTGGACAACAGGAGAAGGTTACAGTCACGTGATGCCATGAAACAAGCTAGAGAGAGAGAGAGACTGATGACTAAAGAAAAGGAGAACCATGCATCCATAGAATGACACACTAACTGATTGCAACTACTCCATGAACAAAACTGAAATTAAAAATACAGATTCATGGTGGCCGGAGGTGGCGAGAGACAGACAATGGTGGCCGGAGGTGGCGAGAAAGAGAAAGTAGAACCAGACACAACCACCACCACCAAGAATGATGAGTTTTTCTGGTCATACACAGATGAACCACATGCTTCTCGCCGCCGTCAGATCCTCTCCGAGTACCCCCAAATCAGACAGCTCTTTGGCCCTGATCACTGGTCTCTCCTCAAGGTATATATATATACATATATATATATACACACACATACATACATATATATATATATATATTCATCATTATTTCACTTATCTATCCTTCTATTGGTTAAGAAAACAAATTGAAATTTATGCATTTTGATCGTTTTATCAACGAAAACCTAATAATCACGAAACAAGATCACAAGATTTATGTTCAAAAACCATAATTTTGCATCAAAGTGTTTAGGATGATCTGATCATTGAATCAGTTTCTTCCACTTTCTTTGTCTTCTTGTGAATCTATTTCTGTATTTAGGGTTTCTTAGTTAACCCTAATTAAGTTATTGCTTCTTGATTAGTTTTTATTTACATCTTAAAAAATTGTAAACCCTAATGAAATATGATGGTATATAATCGTTTACGTTTTCAGAGACACAAAGTCGTAAATCTCTATTCTTGAAGTGCTACATGGTTTTTTCTTAAATTTTCGGCTGATTTTCGAATCAGTGTTTTATAATTTCAGTTGTTGTAAATAAAACTAATAAAATTTCCACTTTTGTGAGGTTTCGACTCTTGATTTTTAGTTAGAAATGTTGGATTACCAAATATTCACTACAATAAAATCGGGTTTATAGGACACTCTCAAATTCTAAGTGTCCTAATAGATCTCTTTATAGGACTTAGTTTATAAGACCAAAAAAATTAAAGTGTTCTATCTAAATGTGTTGTAATAAGTTTATATGACGCTTTTGGGCGTCTTAACAAGTTTTTTAAGACATTTTTAATACAAAGTGTTGCATTAGCAACTTTATAGAACACTTTTGAGAAAGTGTCCTATAAACTCATTTTTTTATAGGACACTTGTTTTTATAGGACAATTTTTCAAATAGTGTCCTATAAAGTTGAGAATGAGACACTTTATATTAAAAGTGTCCTAAAAAACTTATTACGACTTTAAAAAACGTCATATAAACTTATTATAACACATTTAGATAGGACATTTTTTTTTTGTCCTATAAACCAAGTCCGATAAAGAGGTCTATTAGGACACTTAGAATTTGAGAGTGTCGTATAAACCCGATTTTGTTGTAGTGATTGTTTTTGTTTAATTTTGGTTCTTGTAAGAGTAATACTTTTGCGAAAGCCCGAATTTTCCTTTCTCGGAGAACGGAGATGATTGAACACGTTCATATCCCGTATTTTTGTATAGTTTTCGAATTTATTTGTGATTCAAGAATCTTTAAGTACTTGATGTTTCTTCATAGGTAACCCTCGTTGTTTCGCTTCAATTATGGACCGCAGTATATCTCCACCGTGCAAGGTGGTCGAAGATCCTCATGGTGGCCTATTTTTTCGGGTCTTTTCTCAATCACAATCTCTTCTTAGCAATTCATGAACTAAGTCACAATCTTGCTTTCTCTAAGCCACTCTACAACCGTTGGCTCGGCATCTTTGCTAACCTCCCCATCGGAGTCCCAATGTCTGTCACCTTCCAAAAGTATCACCTCGAGCACCACCGCTACCAAGGCGTTGATGGCATCGACACTGACATCCCTACCCTGACGGAAGCCCGCATAATCACAAATATAGTCACAAAATCCATCTGGGTACTCTTCCAACTCTTCTTTTACGCCTTTAGACCATTGCTCGTGAACCCTAAACGGCCCGGAAAATGGGAATTCCTCAATTTCGCCATCCAAATCAGCCTTGATGTTTGTATGATTTACTTTTGGGGGTCCAGATCTTTCGGGTACTTAATTCTTTCCACGTTTGTGGGAGGCGGAATGCACCCGATGGCGGGCCATTTCATCTCCGAACACTATGTATTCAACAAGAAAGAAGGGCAAGAAACGTATTCGTATTATGGTCCATTGAACGTAATGGCGTGGCACGTCGGGTACCATAATGAGCACCATGATTTCCCAAGAATCGCGGGTAGTAAGCTTCATAAAGTAAGGGCAATCGCACCCGAATACTACGAAAATTTGGAATCTTACAAGTCTTGGAGCCAAGTAATATACTGTTATGTAGCAGATAAGTCCATGGGACCATTCAGCAGGATGAAGAGAAAGCCATCAACCAAAAATACCTAAGAAACTTGCAATTTTTTGAATTCTTTTGAGTATTTTCTTTCTAGCAATTTTGAGAAATTAGGGTTAGGTTTGGCTGTCACCATTTGATTCAAATCATATTTGCTTTTTGTCTTTTTGTGGGTCATTGATGTATATAAGCCAAATTAAAATGTAAATACAATTTTAAATTAAAATGCATTTGGATAATTAAAACAATCAGACTCTTTTAATATACAACTAGTGTTCGAAACCGAACGTTACGTGGTGATCAAAACTCAATTTAGGAAAAAACGTAAAAGCCTTATGTGATGTGTCTGAAAACTCTAGATTGTATTTATATTTATAATGTCTCATCCAACAACGTAAATCACGATTTGTTGAATACTAGCATTAGATGAAAGCACGTCATTAAGTCAACACTTTCATTCTATGTATATGATAGACACTTAAACTACATTTGTTATTATAAGTACTCCAATAATCACAACTCTTGTTAAGAAAAAAATGTATCATTTGCATTCGTTTTGCACAATTTTTTATACCAATTAGTTGGTTTTGATTTCAACCATTGTTATAGATTTCAAAGCTCCATCACGCTTTTATACATCCATCATCTTCTAATAGATTTCAAAGCTCCATCAAGCTTTTATACATCTATCATCTTCTTCTAAACTATCATCTTTCTACCAATGTTAAAAGATGAAAGTCAACCTTATTTCAGATTTGAGGAACAATCAAACCTTATGGTGCCAAGTCATCATCCTTGGTTTCAGTTTTAGTTTTGTACTAATGACTTTTATCATTTGGTTGGTTTTGATTCCAACCATGGTTATAGATTTCAAAGATGATCATCGAAAATAAGACAACTCTATGAGGAAAAACCAATGAATTGACACAAAGGCACCATCCATTTTTTTTATACACTTTATTTTGTTGAAATCTTTTAAATCTTCACCAATTTGGGACAACTAAAACTCAATCACAAATTCACCATATTAGAATACTTAATTCTCATGGTGCTACCTCACTATCCTAAGGTTTTTCAAAAAACTTTTTAGGTGTATCTCGGTAGATCTTATCATAATGTGCATCCAATGGTGGAGATCCATTCTTACGTTTCTCACTTTAACTCTCATTTTCACCGGAACTCAACCCTATAATCTATCCCTCATCGAGTATCCCCTTCAAGATTAAAAATCCTTGGAAACATTTATTTTTAAATGGGGGGTGGTCTAGGAAGGGAAGAGTGATTAAAAGCGACAAATTGTAAACCTGTTGAAGTTTTTCTGTATTGTTTCGAATCATGTCTCTCCCACTTGTTTGTTTTAGATTTCAGAAAATAGAAAAGATATGTATTTGATTCATTTTTCTTTTATTAGTTAATTCATTTTTTTCTATTAGTGATTGCAATAGTTCTGTTTTGTATACTTTTTAAAATGACTATTTTATATTGGAAAATTTGGATCAACAATGCATGTTATAATGATTTTATGAAATTCGAAATTGTTGAACACTAAAGTCTTCACTGATTGATAGCCGCATGATCTCGTTGGATAGTTGGACATGACAATACGGTTTATGAATTACAAACAATAATAATTTACATTACACCACATTATTTAAGATTGTAGTTTTGTATTTCAAAATTTTCACATATCTTTAATTTTGATGATTTATTTTTACAATTGTCATGTAATTAAAAATATACATGTATTGATGTAGATAAAATTATATATAGTTTTATATATTTGTGGATTCAAATTTCCTTTATAAAATAATGAAAATTGAGTTAAAAGAATACGGAAATGAAAGGGTTAATAATTAATGTGTTGATTGTAAATTAAAAATAAATCAAAATAATGAGAAAAAAGATAAATAGGATCTAAATTTCTCATTAAACAATCATATGGTTCTTCCTTTAATATATATATATATATATATATATATAGATTTTCCGAGCAGATAGTTCAAAAAAATTATTTTATTTTTAAATATAAAACAAATACACCATTTATTATTTTAAATTATTTCAATATAAAATACGATGATAAAAACACAATATGAAAAAACATACAAATACTTCACTACATAATGTTTAATAGGTTTTTTTTCTTTTTCCTTTTTTAGTCTTTAACAAGTGATTTATAGGGATGGATTCAAGACGGATCCCTAAAAAATAGAAAACAGGGGAACCCTCCAACAACCATTAGTTGTTATTGATAGATATGGGAATGAGACCCGTCTCATCGGAGAATCCGGTATATCCGTCTCGATCGGAACGAGGGATGGGGACAAGGATCCCAAAAGTTAAAAACCAACGATTGGGATGGAGACGGGGCTTGGTTACATGATCCTCGACCCACTCCGTCACTATATATTAAATATAATATATATTTATTATTAAATGTATTATTTCCAAAGAATTAGATTTAGTATTTTCTTAATAAAAAATGTATTTTACATTTCTTCTTATATCTATATACCTAATAAATAAGTAACTTTGGGGACACGTGTCATGTTTCTATGCGACGGTTATTGATTTTTCCCGCCTAAACATGTATTTAGACGCAATTTTCACTTACGGTTCAAATAAGTCTATTTAAGTGACATATGTTCCTTTACACGTTTATTTTCCTGTTTTCGTGGTTTAACTGAATTTAAGTCTGAATTTAACTCTGAAGTGGCCTCCAAACTTACAACATAACTCTGGGAAAATTCAGAGTTGTAAGTCTGAATTTAACTATGAATTTAAATCAGAATTTAACTCTGAAATGACCTCCAGACTTACAACATAACTCTGGGAAAATTCAGAGTTGTAAGTCTGAATTTAACTCTGCCAGCCAGGAGCTCTGTCCCTTGGACCCTGTCACCGGGGGCGCTGCCCTCGGACCCCCGTCGTTTAGGGGCTTCGCCCCTAAATCAAAAATAAACTCAAACAAGTGTGGACTCTGCACCTTCCTTATATGTTCGATATTTATCATGATTACATTAATCAACAATTTAACCCCATTACACTTAAATGACATTAATGATATAAATCACCAACATGAAGTCATCAGATATTGGTTATTTCTCAAACTTACAATATAACTTTAAATTGTTCTGTTCCAATCTTAGTTATATAGTTTATTCTCAGACTTAGAATACAACTTTGAACTCCTCTTCAGAGTTGAAGTTCAGAGTTACGTTTCTGAGTTATAAGAAGTCAGAATTCTTGTGACTCAGAGTTATGTCCGTAGATACTTTCTAGACTTTGAAAACAACTCTGAATTCCTCTTATTCAGAGTTAAGTTTAGAGTTATTTTCTAGCGTAACAATAGAACTCTGAATTATTGTGTTTCAGAGTTAATGTCCAGAGTTTTTCTCATTTAAAATACTCTGTGTAATGCACGGGGTCGAACCTATTATATATATATATATATATATATATATATTTTAACTTGTCTTATTTTTTTAGACAATAAATATGGAGAGTCGAAAGTGTTTGATTAATATGATGTTGAGATTAATTTTGTTGCCATATAAATATTTCATACTCTATAAAAACTAAACATTGGAAATATGTAAGATTTAAACATGGATCATTTTAGATCGAGTGTTGTATTTCACATTTGATTTAAAATATCTCATATAAACGAGAAAAAAGTCACCGATTCTCCATTGAGGAATAGCCCCATTTCTCGTTAAGAACGGGAATGAGTGTTAAAATATATATATATATATATATTATATATATATATATATATACTATAATAGTAATCGCGCAATGCAACGAGACACATATCGATTTTAATGTTTAATTTTATTATTTGTCTATGTCGATGTTATAGTACGATTTTATGTATTTTTAAGAAAGCAATAATGATTTTATTTTTTGAATAAAATATAAATTTGAA